CGGTCCTCCGTAGAAGAAGCTGCCATTCTCCACGGGGCTGACGGCGTACGCCTCGGGCCTGCTCTCCAGCTTGGGCAGGTCCGACGTCACCGGCGACGCACGCCCGTCGGGGCCGACGAGCTGGACGCCGGTCACGGACACGGCGGACGCCCCAGGCAGGTAGCCGCTGCCCATGAGCGCCGGCGGATTGTCCGCGGTCACCATGCCGCGGAACCGCACGGCCGCCGCCTTCTCCGCGAAGCCTCCCGTGAAGAGCGACCTGGGGAAGCGGCCGATGGGCGCCGGCTCACGGTTCAGGCCCGCGTGCACCACCCAGTCGCCCGACGCGCCGCCCTGCTTGACGATCTTAAGGCTCAGGTTTTGCTTGGTGCCGCCGCCCGTGGGAGTGGAGACGTTCTGGATGACGTCGCCGGGAGCTATGGCTGCGCCTTTCTCCGGCTGGAATCCGGCGCACTTGGTGTTCAGGCGTAAACCCGTCATCCTGCAACCAAAGAAAGTACGTACACTCGTACAGCATCAGTATTGAACACCATTGCACACCGATATGATACATACATATATAATATCTTTCTACTAAGAGAAGGAGAGACGGAGAGCGAGGACTTCTGTCCAGGAAGTAAAGAAATGCGTGCGCGAATCGCCGTACAGAGCTGGCAGAACATTCCAGCCGATGATAATGGCTTTGGCATTTGCCTGTGCACCGTCCGGTCCGTCCCCTTCATCCACGACCCAGACGGAGCCCGCGGTGCCTTGTCCGTGCTTCAGCTCTGGGAAGCCGTACACGTCCAGCGTGGCGATGAACCCGTAGTAGCCATCTGGTGTGGCCTCAGCTCCATGGAACGCGAACTAAGTTATGCAACAAGGCAAAGCAACAAATGCAGAGCTAGCTCAACAAGCACAGTACCGGTAACAGGAATTTAGAATAATGGTACGATGGATGGATATGAACTCACGTAGGTCGGGTCGGCTAAAAACCTCTGGAGCGAATGCAACTTCTGATGACGACCAAAATCCTCCGGGGTCCTTGGAGATGCATCGGCGCCAGAGGCTACGAGTAGAAAGGCCAAGAGAGCTGCTCGTAGGGTGACATGCGCTGCTGCCTCCGCTACCGGTGCTGGTGCCGCTGCCGCGGCCATACAATCCAAACAGCCACCTCACCAGGAGGGCGACGAGGACGCCGAGGACCAACCCGAGGAACACGAAGCCGCCCAACCGCTAGCCCGTGGAGTCGCGCTGGCGGAAGACGACCGTCACCGAGCAGATCGCCGCCGTCGGGGGCAGGAGAGCCGCCGGTGGGGACAGGAGCGCCGGCAAGATCGTCGTTGACATAGCAGTTCGGCGGTGGCGCTGCAGTACGTAGGTGGCGCTGCGCACAGTGCACTGGCTCTGGCTGGGTTTTCTCTTGGGAATTGGGGTGTGGGACAATGGTTCTGCTTCTGCTCAGAGATGATGCATGCTCTTCCAGCCTTTATTATGCGGTGTATATGTGTGCATATCCCCCGCAGCGCTGATCTGTCTCTGTTCCAGTTTGTTTGAGACGCGATCGAGGTTGTTTTGTTTCTGTTGTGCAGGGATCGGGGGTGGAAATGTAACAGCCAGCGATGCAATGCAAGCCGTAGAATTCTTGCACACATGCACGTCACACGTAGGGAGGCACACACCACATGCATGGTCGATCTCGTTTTAGAGATAGATATGTATGTAGGAGTACTACACAAAACCGGCATAAACACAGGCATATGCATCAATTAATGCATGGTCGTTGATCTCAGCCCTGTTCGCTCGAACTTATCAGCCGTACCGTTTTAGTAAAATAACAGTGTTTTTCTCTCACAACAAATCAATGTCGGCATCAGCATCAGCCGTTTTTCCAGCCAGCCACGTACAATGTTGCGCGCTTCAATTCCGATCGATCCGCGTCATCGACTCATCGTATCCCTGCAGCTACAAATACAATACGATACAAGATGGCCGTTACATGCATACATATATATACTTGGGCTTGCCAGTTAGTTCGATTATTCGATCACAACGAAGGTGACACTGACACGCGGTGGCTCCACGTACTGGCCCTATTCACGTGCTCTTAAACCCGGCTTGATCTATTTCTTTTTTCATGCGGAATAGTATTTTTCTCTCACAAATTTCTTCGACGTTCCTCCGAATCATCCAAATTCCTCCAGAATTCCTCTGAGCGAAGTGGCCCAATGTATACACCCCTCGTGACAACCAGGCCACGCGTATGCCGCACGACGGTAATGAACAATGTAGGATGCCTTCAACTGCGAGGTTTTTTTTGTTTGTGCGTCATGTCCTTAAATAAAGATATATATACTGTACTATTAAAGAAAAAAGATACTCCATTCCTATCATGTGGACTTTTCTATTTTTTATTAGTTGTTTATTAAGGTTACCCATGTAAAAAAAGCTAATCAAGAGTATGAACGAATCAGAGATATTTATAGGCGTTCATGTAAGGAAACAAAGAAATTAAGAAACTGACATGGAAGAAAAGAAAATATATTTTAGAGTTTTTTTTAAAGAAGAAAAATATTTATGGAAGGAAAGAAAAGTTTAATCAGCCATGCGAAGAAACTAACCAGTTGAAATAGTCATAACTAAAACTGTACCTTAGGAAACTTGAAAGACTACAAGATTGTTAAAACTGTACGTTAGGAAACCTGAAAGAGTACAAGATTGTGTGAAGGAGTACAAGATTGAATAATGCCATGGTGCATGGTACCACGCACAACGCTCTTAAATCCTGAAATTTAATTTTCGTTTTTACTGAAGTCGAACCCAGAACCTTAGGTGCTACTGAAACTCTTGTAACCACTAGCTAGGCTACATGCCCTTTCATGAATTTAAGATAATTGATTTTGACTGGAACCAAAATTGTAAATTTTTTAGGGGCTAGGTATATGCCAAATCAGTTTGAAGCAAGCGTGAAGGCGAAAGTTGATTGCCGGCTGAACATGAGATGCCGGACTGCATGGGCAAGTCGGCGATACCTCTGGTAACGGAAGGAGAGCTCTCCTCCTCTGACTGCTGTGGCACCCAGATACAACATACAGTCAGAAACACAGAGGTCAGAGGGTGCGTCGCCGGTTGCTTGGGAGGCCTGCTCGAATTCCACAAGGGAAATTACATTGCATGCAGAGGGGACCTAGGAATTGCCTTGCGGCACGGGACGAAGAAAAGAAGGAAGGGTGGAATTCTGTCGATTCCTCGGACAGGTGCCGTGCCTGCCGAGGAGGCTGAATTCCTCCAAGCAAGATCGTGTCAGGACCTTGTGGCTGTCCATTCTCCGTTGTCGTAGGGATCAGAACATAGGGTTGCTTGTATTATATTAGCGACTTTGCTTGTAAGGAGTTTCACTCTACTGCCTGTGTCAGTTTAAGACGGGCTTCATATTGTGCTGATTGTAACCCTGTGTTTCAATTGAATTGTTACAAAACCTGAACCTTTTTCTTTTCTTCTTCTTTATTTTTTATATAAAAAAAATCATGTACTGGCTTTGTATATTACACAACTTTAACCTTTGAATAGGCACGTGATGGCGACCGCGAGGCAATTGGCATCTGAGCATCTCTGCAAAGGTGCGTCGTGAATATCCGTGTGTCGGTGTGTGAACTGTGAACCCGTTGCAATCTCCATTAACAAACAAAACACTTCTTCACCTGGCTGCAAGTACTATTCCTATCTTAGGGAGGAAATACAGTTGCCATGTTTATAGTCCGTAGGCTTGGGTTTAATAAATATTTTTTTGCTATACCAATTTGATAAGTCTCAACCAATGATCATTTCCTTCCAACAATCCCTGAAATATCCATTCAATTATATCCACGAGGGTTCCGTTGCACTTGCACAAAAAAATTTTTGCATACCCTATGGCTTGTGCACTTCTCCTCTCTTTGACTGTCGCAGATCACCGAACGGATCGTATATTGAAATTGAAGAAACTAAAAGAAAAGAAGAAACGTATGTACTTGTGACTAAAGGAGAATAGGGATAGATCATAGACCTTGGCTCGCCCATAGGATTTAAAATTGGCTCGGCGAGCTCGGTCTTGGAGTCGCTAGGATTGAGTACCTACTTGCTTGCTCTGCTGTTTGTGTTTGCGTCGTGGAGATGCCGAAAGGGCGATGGCCGATTGCTTTCGCTGCCGGTAGCGATTGCATTGCATGATCCCAGTACCCAAAAAACGATTGATTTATCGAAATTTCAAAAATACGACTCTACCTATGGGCTTTGGTTGGGCTGAGCGCAGGGTGGTCCACGGCCCACAGGGACCATCCTGTAGCTCCGCCCCTGTCCGTAGGGCTTGGGTTTAATAAAAAATTTTTAACTGCTGTCTCAAAGATCATTTCCTTCCCTCCCTGAAATCTCCATTCTTATCACAAGGGTTCCGTGCATGCCTTTTGATCGCAGTCGCAGATCATATTCCTTTGCAGTTTGGATCATCCATTCCCCCAAGCAACCGCGTAGGTATATAAGTATATATCCCTCTAGAATACAATTATTAGTTTCCTTTTTTGTATTATTATTTTATTATTAGTGCAGTGCAGCGCGGAATAGAATTAGCTTCCTTGACCTTGACCTCCCATTTGATTTGGCTTCCTGACCCAACGATGCACGATCCTCCTGATCCGGTGCACACGGGAGACGGGGATAGCATGCAGATGCCGCTGGCAGCAAGTGAATCTTGCTTGCCCACCACTTCTACGTCTACTTCTATCCCAAGAAGTCCCCAACCACCCGCCGGCACCGCACCGCACCGCACCGGCCATGGTCCGCCTTCCCCTTGGCGACTCCCACACACTTGCCCAACCACACATGCACATGGTCCTCCCCCTCTCCCCTTTACCCTTTTCCCTTGCTTGTATAGTTGCCATTGCCATTTTCCAACCACCTCCAAACCTCCTCGTTCCTCGGTCCTCTTTCTTCTCCAACCAAACAGCAACCTCTCCCCCCAAGAAACCCGCAACCCAAGCCGGACGATGAAGAGGGAAGGGCGGCAGCACGGCACCGTCCGGATCAGCCGCAGCAAGGTGCTGAAGACCGCCGCCGCCACCGCCGAGGCGGTGGCGGTGGCGGCGACGGAGAAGGCGGCGGGGAAGCCGACGAACGCGTCGAGCAGCATGGGCAAGTGCCGGCGGCCCCGGTGCGCGGGGTGCCACGCGCACCCCGTCACCAAGGCGCGGGACAAGGCCAAGGGCGCGCACAAGCTCCGCGCCTGCGACGTCGCGCTCAACCACCGCCTCGTGTCCTGGCGCGTCGTCGACCAGGGCCAAGGCGTCCCCGAGTACAGGGGCAAGTCCGCCTCCTCCCTGCTGGCGTACCTGGCCGGCGGAAGCGGCAACAGCTGGCACGAGGAGGAGGAGGACGGCGCCGGCGAAGGCGGCGGGATCGGAGCAAACGACGCCGGGCTCTCTGACCTCTACGACCTCTTCGTCGGCCGCCGCGCCGACACCGACGCTGGTGGCCAAGAAGTTGATCCTGATCCGGCGGCGCGTGATACTGACGTAGATGATGTAGGAGAGATTCAAGCAATTGGAGAGCAGGGACTGCTGCTGGATGACAAGGAAGATGGGGATGACGAGGAGGAGGAAGACGACGACGACGACATGGGGTTCTGCATGGTCGGCGTCACCATCGCGGTGGAGTTCTCCGACGGCGAGGAGGACTGGATCGTGGTGGAGGAGATCTGATTCCCCATCCAATCCCATCTCGTCGATTTGGGAATTGAAATCTCGTCGATTTGGGAATTCAATGCCAAATTGCGAATAAGACTCGCCCATCCTCTGTCGGTGGTGTGTATGTGTATATACTACTACCGCTCTTCTGTTCTTTGCCAAATGTGCATATGGTGACGGTTAAACTGATTGTGGTCATGGACTATTACATGATTCAAAAACATTAATGAATTTCTCATCTGTGAATGAATAATAAAGTGTATTCTTCTTCTGTTCTTGGTGATTGGTCTATGATTGAAACTGAATTGCCCATGTGGGTTGGGGGTTCATCTGAAGATGTTCCCTGTGTTCTTGTTCCTGTTGCTTCCCATTTTCTGCTCTGTTCTTGAGCTGGATCAACTCCTGCTCTACAAAATTGGATAAATTCAAATCAGGAACATCGAGTAGGATGGAGTCGTCAATTCCTCTGCTTATGTTCTTTCTTATCAATCTACTTAATGCAACCATGCATTTTCTTTATTCTGAAAGAGAAAGCTTTTACCTCTATGTTAATTTCACCAAATTTCAGCAGATGCAGTCATTTGCCCTGTTCGCTTGGCTTACTAGGCATACTTTTTTCAGCCAATGGCTTACAAGGCATACTTTTTTCAGCCGATGAACAATATTTTTCTCTCACAACAAATCACCAAACAGTACTTCCAGTCATGTCTTATCAGCCAAGTGAACAAGGCAATTATCATCCAATCATTTGATGGCTGTGTCTCAACGGTTCATTTGTGCAACATCTCTCTAAGGAATAGTACTAGTTAATGGCACACAAAATAATGATTCTCTTTCAAACAACTGTTAGTGACCCTAAATTAATCCCTTACTTCGTATGGTCAAATGGTCCTGATGTCCAAGTAAATGTCAATTTCTGTTTTCAGTGCAGATTTAACATAAGGACATTTTTTATTTTTTCTACCACCGAATTAAACTTCAGTTATACTACTAATCTGCCCTTTTTTACCATCCAAAGGAATCCCCTGTCTTCTTGTGTGTGTGTATATATATATATGTAAAATTGTGAAACGCTTCATGCAAAAATCTTTAGGTGCAAGCAAGCTTAAATACAAGTCAACTCCATTTCTTTTGCATACTTTGTACTGGTAACTTATAATCAAAGGATTGACAATGTACGTGATTGTCACTCTTCAGTTGGACAGGAACCTCAGTGTAAATCTTGTGGTGCACGATGTGAAGGCATCGTGCCCTTAGGGGCAAATTTTACTTTACCCAATGTACGCATATATTAGGACTGTACTAAGTTTGTAAGTGCGTGTTTGCATTCTTCCCATGCAGACGTGCCTGGCGGGCGCCCGATTTTGGATGCCTAGGCTGTGATGGCTGCCTGGGAGGATTCAATCCAAACAAAACAGACCCTACATACTGCTGCACAGTGCACACCCTACTGTTGTCCAAAAAATTGCTGGCCTGGCCAATACCGTATCGAGATCCCACATTGAGATCACTGGCCTTGGCTTTGTCCGTAGTGTGTGATAGATAGGGCCGGTTTGGCAGGGGTTCAGATTCACCATATTCGGATTTATTAGCTTAGATCCACCAAATTTTTTTCAAACAGTCTAAATCCACTAAATTCAGATTCACCAAAATGGTGAATAGTGAATCTGAGGGCTGGATTCACCATTTTGGTGGATCTCCTCAAGGGGTACTCCACAAATGGACGTTTCATACTTCGTCGTGGATTTGGATTGAAATTACCCACCTTTGCCACTGGTTACACACCTCCCTTCTCATACCGATTCGTTTTTTTTGTTTTGTTTCCTCGTCTCCTTTCTCGCGTACACGAGAGCCCAACAACCCGTCACCTTCCCGTCGCGGCCATCAGGAAGGCCACGCCGCCCACCTCCTCCCTCCGTTCAGCTACTCCAGCAAGCCCGTGATTACTAGGCCTAGATTCGGACCCCCTTGACCTCCTCCACCCCCTCGACCTACTCCGGTGAGCCCGTGATGGCCGTCGCCCGTCTCCTTCCCGTCGAAGCCTCACGCCCCCCTGGCCGGCAGCGTAGGCCCCTCACCGACCTCGTGGCTGGGGGCGCGGCCAGCATCGTGGCTGGGTGCGGCACCCTAGTGACGGGCTCCCACAGGGTCGGCTCCTGCACGACCTGAGCCGCCAGCGGTGGCCGGATCCCATAGGGCCATGCGCAGGAGCACGACGAGAGAGAATCGGCGCGGGGAAGCGGGGATGACGCGGCAGCGTGGTGCACTCATGGGGCCAGGCTACAGGGCATGGCCAAGGCCAACACAGGAGCGCCGGGGAAGATGAACGGCCGTCGGTGTTTTGAGTTACCACCAACGAGTAAATTTCTAATATTGCGCGTCTGGCTCGGATGGTGTGCTAAGAGGACACAAGGTTTATACTAGTTTAGGCAGAATGTCCCTACGTCCAGTTCGTTGCTGTTGCTCGTGTTACTAGCACTGAAAGTTCGTAGTAGGGGTTATAAACGGGCGAGAGCGGAACAGGTCCCAAGTCTCTGGTGAAGGGAGTAAACGGGTGCTGAGGGAGATTGGTTGCTGCTCAACCATGTGTTTGGGGTTTGATGGGTTTGTTTGGATCTAGCTTGAATCGATCCGATGCCCCATAATGGGGCGCCCTGGTTTTTCTTTTATAGGCCAAGGGAAAGCACTGGTTACAGCGAAGGAAAAGAGAAGAACGAGAGAGAGCAGGGTCGCTGGGTCCTTCTCCTTCATGCAGATCCCGCCGACACTATAGATGTCAACAGGGACGGAGCCATGTCGTGGTCTTGTCCGTCACTGGCGCCATGTGCAGGCGTCGTCTACTGGTCACGACGCTCCACTCCGTCCTGGTGGACATCGTGGTGAACCGACGTGCCTGTCAGTGTTCGTACGAGGGTTAGGCAGAACAGTACCGGTACGCCCGATGCTGTTCTTGATGTGAATCTTCCGGTATGGCCCGTTATGGCCACGGGTTACATAAGGGTGTGCCGGTGTCTTCCCTGGTGTTAGAGCTTTGACCCGAGCCCATACGCTTGGACCTGGAGTGGTTGGCGACGGTATGGGCCTCTGTCGGGCGAGGCGGAGCCCACCCCTAGAGGCCGGGCAAGGCGGAGCGCAAACCCAAGGGTCGGGCGAGGCAGAGCCCGCGGCCTTAGGGTCAAGTGAGGCGGAGCGCCAACCCAAGGGTCGGGCGAGGCGGAGCCCGTGGCCTTGGGGTCGGGCGAGACGGAGCGCCAACCCAAGGGTCGGGGGAGGCGGAGCCCGCAACCTTAGGGTCGGGCGAGGCGGAGCGCCAACCCAAGGGTTAGGCGAGGCGGAGCCTATGGCCTTGGGGTCGGGCGAGGCGGAGCCCATGGCCTTGGGGTCGGGCGAGGCGAAGCCCACGGCCTTGCGGTCGGGCGAGGCGGGGTTCGTGGTCCTGGGGTCGGGCGAGGCAGAGCCCGCGGCCTCGGGGTCGGGCGAAGCGGAGCGTGAACCCAAGGGTCAGGCAAGGCGGAGCCTGCCCCCAAAGGTCGGGCGAGGCGGAGCCCACGGCCTCGGTGTCAGGCGAAGCAGAGCATGAACCCAAGGGTCGGGCGAGGCAGAGCCCGCCCTCTGAGGTCGGGCTAGGCAGAGCCCACGGCCTCGGTGTCGGGCGAGGTGGAGCCCGCGGCCTCGGTGTCGTGTGAGACGGAGCCCGCCCCCAGAGGTAGGGAGAGACGGAACCCATAGCCTCGGGGTCGGGCGAGGCGGAGCCCTCTCCTAGGGGTTGGGCGAGGTGGAGCTTGCGCGCCTAGGGGTTGGTTGGAGCTATAGTTTCACTCTTGAGTGCTTGGATGAATCCATGTTGATGGTCATTAGCTCCTCCTCTTCGAGTACCCTAGTATTGGCCCCCGACAACGGTTGTAACACCCCCGGTGTTAAATACCTGATTAGCGATACGTTAAAGATAATAAAACTTGATTAGTAAGTTTCATGTGCTCTGTAATGATCTTCTGTTTGTAATTCTAAAAATGTGGAGTGAAAGTTCTTTTAAATTATAGCCAACTTAAATCTTTTTAGGGAAAGACAAATCTTTTGACAGTAATAAAAATGTGCATGAATAGTGTTGCTTAAGTGCTTGCATGAACCTAAGTGTATTTTGATCGTATGTGGTGTTTGCATAATGTTTAAAATCAAAAGAGCACAAAATGACAAGGCTTTCTTTGTTTGAATCACCTTTTGTTAATATAGGGTCAACATATGTGATGTCAACCAAGTTTATTTTTGTGCTTAAACATCTCTAAATGTGTTTGCGAACAAAAGTTATTTAGGGTTTATGTTGGAAAAATGTGGAGAAAATGCTTAAAAATGTCAAAAACCCTAATTGGTTAATTGCTTGATAGCTTGTTGAAGGCTGAATAAATAAATAATTTATTAATAAACTCTTAAATATGTCCATGTGAAAAACTTAGTACAAGTTATGAAATTTGTGGTGGAGTACTTATTGGTGCTTAGTTTGAATGTTTGATAGATTAGTTAAGGCTTCAAAGTTTAAATAAATTGTTGTTTCCTGGGTAACTTAGTTTCCAAGTGCTTAGTATTTTCGCTAACACCGCTAGCTTTGGTCCTAATTTCCCACTAATCCATTGCACTAACGACTTGGGTCTCTTAAACAAAGTTGGAGTCCTCTGCGCTGTGAAAATATCTCGTTCAAGCACCTTGGTCCGAATCTTTTCGGAATATGCCGAAGCAGTGGGTCTAAGGCGGGCATATGGCCACTGACCTTGTCCAGTCACCCATGCCCTGGCTGCCCATGTTGAGCACAGTGCGCGCCATGGCCGCCCACGTCGCGCTGCTCCCTCTCCCTGCCTTCTTCTGCGCGGCGAGGTCGCCTTGCTCGTCCTCACGGTCCATCTCCCTCCCTCTCTCGGCTCTCTCCCTCGCTCCCTACCGCAGGAACGCGGGCGCGCTCACCATGGCAGCCCGAGCTCCCCCTGCCGCCCCCGCGCTCGCGCTGTGCCTCCGCGTTTTCGTCG